GTTCTATATGATTCAGGTATTCGGCTGATGTTCGCTCACTAATGGCGCTGGCGAGAGGAGGGGGCGATGTAGCACCTCGGGACAGTCGTATAAGAGGGAGCGAACATGGCTTGTATGTGAGGTCAACTAGTCGTCTTTAGTTTCTTCTGTATCTTGGAGGTACAGTCACGTTTACATGCAGTCTAGTTTATACAGCATTCGTCGCTATCTCTCCCACATATAATCTCTCTATTAACGCCCCATGCCTTCTTTTTGTATAATATGGTTTAAAAGCAAAAACCAGAAAGAAGCTCAAAAAGATCTAAAAACAACGAAACAAGCAAAATTCCACCCCCCCCCCCAAATCGGCGTTCTGCCGTCGCCTAAAAATCATTTTCTGTAGACTACACCACTTGGCCTCAACAAAAAATCGGGCAGCATTCATGGTAAGATCTTTTGATAAGTCATTGGCCACAGTCGGCATTGCCGGCTGAGAGCCGGTATTAACTCGGCCTTACTCGCTTAGTAAGGCTGCCGTGACATCATCAAGGAAAAATGGACTGGATTTTTTGAGAGGAAATCGGGGTTAGATTGAGTCGAAATCTCCACTCCTCTAAGCAAATCGAGGTCGCTGAATCCGATGGTAATGCTCATTCCTCACAAAGATCATCTACAGCCGAGATTTCCCATGTCTCGGAATTCTTCAAAGTTTTCCTACCGTAATTGCCTTCAATTAGCACCATGCGCGCCGAAATTTCAACCCCGTGCGCGATTCAGGCCGCCGATGTGGGCGAGGTTGAACCCTATCTCTCATCAAACCTAAGCGATTGACCTCAAATTTTGACCACACCACTGAATCCACATTCTAGGTGGACGCTGAGCATCTCACCCAATTTCGGCTTTTCGGTCCCGTTTTCTGTTGTATAGCGCTTCATCTTTAAGCCAAACTGAGATTGAATTGAGAACAGAACCACCCATTTTCTGTGTATACAACAACAACGACATCAAAACTGATATAATTTATTACAGTGTAATAATACTGTCTATATGTTTCTATTCCAGCGAAGAGGTAGGTCTGCACTCAAATTTCCGGATATGAGTCGGAGTTCCGTCTCTCTGGTCGGTCATTTGACTCCTTCTTCGTACCGCAGACTGCTTCGCGACATTTCTTCTGAATGTCGAACAGATACAAACAGTCACTATGGTGAAATGTGGAATAAGTAAAATTGTGTGAGCAACCGGGGTCAAACTCACTCATAATCCATGTCCAAAACAATAATGCGAACAGGGTCGCTCCTATCCTTGCGAAAATCACGAGTTCCTTCAGCATCCTCAAACAACTTGGCTTGCATCTATACTCGGGAAGGAATGAACATATTCCACTGAACATATGGCAGTCAGATCTACATAATATTTCGACGAATTAGATGAAACGCCATTTTGTGGTGTACAATCAGTAATGGCTTTGAGGGAACACAGTCGGCGTCATCAATGTCAGATTCTTCTGAATCCTCGCTCTCTTCTTCGGAAACCGGTTCCCGAGGTCCACAGTCCTCGTCTGCCTCCGCCTCTGACAATTCGTCCGTCATGAAATCTGAAGAGTCAAAAGCTAATGAGCGAGATATACCATGTGACCGTTTATGCCCCTGAATTTCACGCGTCGCTTGACCGCCAACACTTCCTTCTCGTTCAAGTTTTGCTGCCCTTGGCCATCGCCTGTAAACATCGGTATGCTCTCACAGCAGGCTCTACGAAATCGTCCACGTAGTGAAGCAACTGCGTTTTTTGCGTGTGGCCTGAAAAGATGTGAGTGTTCCTCTCAGAAGATGATGATAGCAAAATGCTGGCTAACCCAACAACATGGCTACATTTGCATCAGCTGGGTCCAATGTATCTCCTTTCTTTTGAGCCATGTAGGTTGTCGAATTGTGAAGTGCTTGCTGCGTGTCTCACCTTCAAATTGTTGACTTGTTTTCTAATGATTAATTCATTGACAGTTCCTCACTAACCGCATTGCATGTGATAGCCATTTCTTCACAGTTGAGAATTATGAAGAAGGGTCTCAGAAGAGGAGAAACAGACGAGAACGACACAGGCGTTCCGCTCCACAGCAAAAGAACTGT